TTTTGTTACAGTTAGGCCGGGGCTGGTTTCAAATCCACCACCCTCGGTATATGGGGCTGGCGCCCTACTCACTGAACCACAGGCGCCACCCCTATGTGCCTTTCTAGAGCTGAGTGACTAGAGCTACTCCAGTGCTGGGTATTTTCTTCACGGGTAGCATAATTTTTCTTTGAAGTTTTCAGTACCCTTCTACTGTTGTGCAGCACTTGATACTGCTGTGTGGTCCCTAAGCCAGTGTCCCTGTGCAAGTTCCCAATGACTAAGGCGCCAGCCACGTACACTTAAGGTGGCGGGTTCAAATCCCCAGCCCCGACCCGCCAAAACAACAATGACGGCTGCAACCAAAAAATAGCCGGGCGTTGTGGCGGGCGCCTGTGGTCCCAGCTACTTGGGAGGCGAAGGCAAGAGAATTGCCTAAGCCCAGGAGCTGGAGGTTGCTGTGAGCTGTTATCTTGAGGCTCTGTCTCCAAAAAAAAAAGTTCCCAATGACTTAGATGCATTCTTTATCATCTAACATTTATTTGAATGTATTTGATCGTGGAGTCAATCTTTTTACAAACAAGGTTAGGATTGTTTTTATATATAAATGTTATTTACATGACCACTTTAAAACATTTCTGTTTGGGGGTGTTTTTGTTGTTTCCGACCCACCTATACAGTATCAGAGAGCCTACAGGCAGTCATTGCTTTGAAGAGCACTTAGTTAAGTAGTGATACCTGAGGAACAGCGTTGTTTACATCCCTGGGTATACTGTGAAGTTTTTATTTGTCTCTGCCTTTTAGTTCTTGAATAGGAACATATTCTTAACATAACCACCAACTTTTTTTACCAGTGTCCCCTGATAACTCAGGCTTTAAGTAACCTTTTGCATGAAATTTCTTGAGAATCTAGTTCTAGCTCTTTCTTCCGCTTTGTCTAGCTACTGGCTTTAGCATCAAATAATTCTAGAAAAATTATTTTAATGTTTTTACTTTCACAGGCTTCTTTATTTTCTTGCTGAATCTTAAGATAAACTGAATGTTGACCACAATTTTTCTAATCAACAGGCTATTTTCACAACTTACTTACTGGTCCTTCAAAAAGTATTATAACCTATACCAAAATATTTCACTAAAATGACTGCCAACTTTTCCAGAACAAACAAATTAAAAATATTCAACCAAGAGTAAGTCATAAGAGCAGCACAGAATGGTAGTTAAGAACCCAGATCCTGGCTCGGCGCCTATAGCTCAACCGGCTAAGGCGCCAGCCACGTACACCTAAGGTGGCGGGTTCGAATCCGGTTGGGTTACCTCCCACACATACTTTGAGACAG